GATGCCGCGACGGGGCGGGCGRGAGGGGGAGAGCCGGGCCCGCTGCCCCCCGGCTGCTCCGGCGCCGGGACAAAGACCGGCACCGGGGCAGGGACCGGGACAGGGACCGGGACATGGACAGGGACCGACGCCGACAGCGGGACAAGGACTGGCACCGGCACCAGCACCGGGACAGGGAGAAGGGACCGGCACCGAGACAGGGACATGGAGAGGGGCAGACACCGGGACAGGATAGGCTCGGACACCCACAGTGGGACAGGGGCCTGGGCCTGGGTCTGGATCTGGACCGGGACAGGGAGAGGGACCGGGACCGTTCTTCCCGCCCCTCTCGGCCGCGTCTCCCGTCCCGTCCCGGGGTGAGCCCGCCCGTCCATCCCCGGCCGCTCCCGGTGCCGTCTGTGCTGTGTCGGGGTCAGTCCCAGTGCGGGGTCGGGACAGGGACGGCAGCGTCCCGCAGGCTCCCGGTCCCGGGAGTTCCCACCGGGAGGAGCGGGCGGGGGCTGCTCCGGGAGTCCCGGTAAGGCTCTCGGCCCCCGCTGTTTGACCCGGCCCTGTCCCCTGAGCCCCCGCTGCTGCCCGCGATCCTCGGGTCCTGTCCCGGTGCTTCCTCCGACTCCCGCGGCCAGTCCCAGTCCTGCCCGCGACCTCCGCTGCCGGTCCCGGTGTTCCCCCCACCCCGGTGCCGGTCCCGGTGTCTCCCCCTGCCCCGCTGCCGGTCCCGGTGTTTCTCCCTGCCCCGCTGCCGGTCCCGGTGTCTCCCCCTGCCCCGCTGCCGGTCCCGGTGTTCCCCCCACCCCGGTGCCGGTCCCGGTGTCTCTCCCTGCCCCGCTGCCGGTCCCGGCGCCGCCGCGGTGCCGTGGCACCAGATGGCAGCATCGTCCCGGCCACCGGCACTGGCGGTCCCCGTAGCCCGGGGTGCCGCACCGGGGAGCGTCCCCCGCCTGCCGGAGCGGGGTTCCGGGGGTCCCGGGGCAGCAGGAATGGAGAGCCGCGACCCCCCGTGCAGGGCGAAGGGGTCGAGGGGTTCTTGTTCTCCCGGGAAACCGAGTCCCGGGCCTGGCAAGGAAGTGTACAATGTGTCGGTGACACCGGTGGCATCACCTCGACCCTGCTCRGCAGCTGCGGGGACCGTCCCTTCCTCGGGAATAAAAGCCCTCGGTGCCCTCCCGGTGCGGGTCACGTCCTGGTGGGGAAAGGGGTGCTGGAGCAGGATGCAGGATGTCCTGCCCATACCCAGGAGCTGAGCGGTGGTGGCAGGGCTGTCGGTGTCCCCAAGGACGTGTCATGAGCGGGTGAGCGTCGGGCACCGGTGACCCGCGGCGTGGCCGGGCCGTGGCGTGGGCAGCGGCGCTCACTTGCCCGTCTGTCTGTCCGATCCCATCCGTCCGCCCCGCYGCCCTGTCACCTCGCATCAGTGTCGCGGCGAGCAGCGGTCCCGGCGGCGCTGGCCGGGGGTCCTGGCGGCTGGCCCTGACCCTGACGCGCCGTGGCAGCGGGGCGGCCGAGCAGATGTTCCCTGCCACCGGCACCGCGGCGGGGGTGGCGGACGTGACAGGCTCTGACAGGGCGCCAGCCCCGCTCGTGGGGACCGGGGCTGTTCGTGGCACGGCAGGGGACCCCCGGACCCCGCTGTCCCTGCGCTGGCACCCCCTGCCCCTCTGCCCCTGCAAACCGAGCAGATCCCTGCTCCCACTGCGGTGCAGGGATTTGGGGTCCCATAAATGCTGGGTCCAACTTCCCTTGGTGCTSTGGGTGCTCGGTCACCCTCTTTTGGAGGGTTCCAGTCCCCTCACCCCARCTGGCACCCTCGGAGGTGCCCAGAGCAGTGCAGATGTCACGGGTGGTGGGATCAGCTGCACCCCACTGTGTGTAGGGCCCACTGTGTGTAACGTGGGTGTAACTGCACCCTCATGACCCCACTGTGGCATCACTCATGTCCCTCACGTGTGACRCACTGGGAGCAGCCGTGACTCCAGTGCAGGGACTGGCGGGTCATGGCAGTGCCCTGGAGGGCAGAGGGAGCAGCTGGAAGCACAGAGGTGCCACACGCCRGCGCAGCCCCATAAAGCCACCAGAGCTTGGATTTTATATGGCAATAAAAGATAATGTCAGCTATAAAGTGCTAGAGCAGGCCCTGGCGTGCCGAGGAGGGGGGCACAGAGGGTTGGGCAGCTCCCCCAGATCCCCGGGGACACCCCAGCAGGGTGACACCCACTCAGGCCGGGTGGGTCCCCGGTGCCCCAGGGTCGGGGTCATCCCCAGGCTGTCCTGGGCTGGGGTCATGGTCAATGCATTAAAGCTGCTGCTTTGGGGGCTGTTGTTGTTGTTTTAGTGGTTTTATTGGGTGATGCTGGGCCGGGCCTGGYGGTTCCTAATGAAGGAGATTGATGGCTTAATCGCCTGTAGCCATTACGGGGTAATTGAATGGTTGTGTCCGTGTGATCCGAGCGCCAGTGCCGACGTGGCTGGCAAGCGAAGAGCCTGGAACYGGGGGGACACACAGAGCCCCCCCTGCGCCCCGAGGGCTGCAGCACAGGGGGAGCAGAGCCCATGGGGACCCACAGCCATCCCAGGGCTCCTGGCTGTGCTGGAGCTCTCCAGGTTCATCCAGCAGCTCCGGGTCACCCCACCCCATCTCCATCCACATCAGCTCCCGACCAGGGCACTGCGACCAGCTGCTTCAACGAGGCTTTAAATCACCAGCTCCCATCTTTAGGGATGAACAACGGCGTTGGAATGGAAGTGGGAGCGTGGGGGTCCAGCATGGATGGCAGCTCCAAACYGGGGGTCAGCACTGACCACCCTCCCTTGCAGGAATCCCAGAGGAGCAAACCCAGCAGAGCCCCAGGCAGGTCCCCGTGCTGAGGTGGGAGTCAAACTACTCATTCTGTGTGTGACAGCCAGGTGTTTTACAGTATTTGCTACCTGTGATCATCCATCAAAGCAATCGATAGCGTTCCTGCAGAGTTTTATTAATGATCTTGTCACCGGGCTGGTGCGGGGTGCCCGGGGTTGTCGAGAATGATAGATCATTAAGAGCTTTCGCTGCTATTTATTCTCCAGTGACCTTGTCTCTCTCCATTGTTGCTTGCTTAAGAGTTATGAATGCGAGACATGATAATTTGATATTGATCTATTTGGTAAGTTAAAAAATTTACTGCATGGTTGATGTTTTAACAAAGGATCCGCTCGGGCCCTTCCGCTGGTGCTCAGCTCCAGGTGTGTGTCCCCGGGATGTGGGACAACCAGAGGTGGCTGCTGAGCTCTGGGTGTCCCTCGTGTCCCCATCACAATTCCTTTTGAGCCTGAAGTACCGGAATCCAGGAGGTGCCACTGTGGGCAGGGCATTGGAATGGGCAGAACGCTGGGCAGGTGGGGTGGGATGGGACAGAGTGGAGAAAGCCCCTCCCCACCCATATCCCCTTCCTCTTTTATCCCATCCCATCCCATCCCATCCCATCCCATCCCACCCCATCCCATCCCATCCCATCCCACTCTGCCCAGTACAGTGTGGTCCCCTCTATGCTCTCTCTATGTCCTCTCAGATTTTTGGGGCTCTGCTGACCCTAACAAGGGAATCCCTGTAATTATTTGTGCTCCTGGTTCCTCCTGCCCTTCCTGTGCTTCCAGAGCCCCATCAGCTGCTGGGAGAAGCAGCTGTCCCCCCTCAGCACTGCACAGGATGGACCCACTAGCTGGGAACCCACAAGATACAGTCACTGTGCCCTGCTGTGTGTGGTCAAACAGACAGAATTCCATGTGTAAAGGGATTTATCAATAGTGCACTGGATCAGCTGCTGGTGGTGGACACGCTGGATAATACAGTCAGTATTTATGTTTGATTTTGGATTTATTCTTTATTTCTGCTGGGAAATCATTCCCTGGGAGGATGGGGAGGCCCTGGTGCAGAGCAGAGCAGCTGTGGCTGCCCCTGGATCCCTGGCAGTGCCCAAGGCCAGGCTGGATGGGGTTTGGAGCACCCTGGGACAGTGGAAGGTGTCCCTGCCATGGCAGGGGTGACACTGGATGGGCTTTAAGGTCCCTTCCAACCCAAACCATTCYGGGATTCTGTGATTCCTACAAAGGGCTCCCTCACAAGGAAACCCTACCCCKGCAGCTCTGGCTCAGCTCAGCCAGGCAAGGCAGGATAAACCCTGCTTTTATTGTGCATAACTCATGGACTGGGCTGCAGTGAGTGCAGATGTGCAGGGATGGTCCCTGTGGCACCTCCTSGGGGTCAGACCGGCCGTGGGTCAGGGCCAGGCCCCGGGGTGAGCCCTAGGCTGGGTAAAARCGCTGCAGGAGCTCCTTCTTGTTGACTTTGCCCATCTGGTTGCGCGGGATCTCCTCCACCACGATCAGCTCCGTGGGGATGCTGTAGGGAGCCATGGTGTCCCTGCAACACCCAGGGGAGCTGTTATGGGATGGGCTGAGCTTCCCCAYAKCCCCACCTGGGACCCCCRCCCSCATCCCAGGAGCCCATTAAGCTCAGCCCTGGGGGATTTTTGCACCCTGGGGCAGGGATAACACGCAGTGGGTGAGGAATGCAGGTGCCCAGGGGTTCGTGGTGCCAATCCCCGAGGGGCAGCAGGTGAGACCCCTCCCTGGCAGTGTCCACACCATGCCCTTGGCAGAGCAGGGGGTCTCTCCTGCCTTCTGCTGCCCGTGTGTCACCGAGCTGGGGCACAGTGCCCTGGCACTGACTCTAACGCGAGATGCCAGCTCTGCCGAGCCCTCGGAGCCCCGGCCGCCCTCCTCCCCCCGCCGCCACCAGCCCGGCCATATGGAGCCGCTAACTCGGGATGGCGCCTGTCGCCGGGATGCACCATCGCAGGCGAAAGCCGCAAAATGAATCACTCTGAAGAGGGACATGTGTCTCCTGCCAGGGAGTGCGAGAAAAGGGGCCGAGCGAACGTAAGTGACATGAAAAATAAAGGGGAGAGACAGGGCGAGAGGGAGAGGCGGGCGGGGGGCCGGAGCCGTGCCCGGGGCCAGCGCTGGGCAGGGAGCACAGCCCGACCCTCCGGGGCTTGGATTTCAAGGGCACAGGAGCCACATCCCTGTCACAGAGCTGGGACAGAGATGGGAAGAGACAGGCAGGGAACACTCTGGGAGAGGGGGAAGGCAAGGGGGGCTGAGCAAAGCCTGGCACCGGGACCCGAAAACAGCCTGGGAGGTCCCCAAAGCCACAGATGGGGGATGAAGGGATCTCTGGGCTGGGTCACCAATGTCCCTGGCAGGAGATTTAGGGGTGAGCAGCCACCTGAGGCATAATGAGCATCTTTCCTATGAGGAAAAGCTGAGAGAGTTGGGATTGTTCAGACGGGAAAAGAGGAGGCTTTTAATGAGACTTTTTAATGGGGCCTGGAGTGCTTGGACAAGGGGGAATGGCTTCAAACTGACAGGGATAGATGGGATATTGGGGAAAAAATCCTTCCCTGTGAGGGTGGGGAGGCTCTGGCACAGGGTRCCCAGAGCAGCTGTGGCTGGCCCAGCCCTGGCAGTGCCCAAGGCCAGGTTGGACAGGGTTTGGAGAGCCTGGGACAGTGGAAGGTGCCCCTACCATGGCAGGAGGTGAGAGTGGATGAGGTTTAAGATCCCATCCCTGAACAATTCCCTGATTCTGCAGTCCCATGACACATCCCTGATGAGGACAGCACTGGAATGAAGCCCACCCTCCCCATGTCCCTCACCATTGCCCTCCCCACGGGGTTTTACCTGGCCCAGTCCTTCAGCTCCTTCACAGASAGCATCTCTCCCTTGCGCAGCTGCACCACGGCGCTGACCCGCTGTCCCCACACCATGTCCCGGGGCCCAATCACTGCCACATCTGCAGGGACAACAGCAACTCCCTGAGCATCCTGAGCAGCAGCAGGGCTCCAGGGGGCAGGACAGGGGTGAGGGTGTGGGCAGCAGCAGTGCCATGGGATGTCAGCACCGTGGGCTTCTGTGCTGACACAAGGACAGGGATTTTCACCATGGAAAAGGCAGGAAGCTCCATGGCTGGAGCAAATCATAGTCAGATGATGTACAGGGGGGTGTGGGGCTGGGGGCACCGCTGCTGCCCCCTTGCACAGGGTCATGCACAAGGGCAGGGCAGATTTAATKACAGCCTGATTTCCAAAATCAGACACAAGCTGCTGCTGACTCAGCTGTGGCCCTGGGAAGGCAGGAACTGTGGGATTTAAACATCCCCTCATGGGAGGGAGCTTTGGGCACGGCCAGGGACAGACAGGGGGCACAGACCTGTGATGTGGGGGTGTGCCAGGAGGTGACGCTCCACCTCCAGGGCGCTGATTTTAAACCCTCCGTTCTTGATGATGTCCACAGAGGTGCGGCCTTTGATCCAGTACACCCCATCCTGGTAGGCAGCTGTGTCTCCTGCAAAACAAACAGCTCCTTTAGATCCCTTTAATCCAGATCACCCCATCCTTGTACACTGCCAGGTTCCTGCAAAACAAACAGCTCCATCAGATCCCTTGATCCCATTTACCCCATCCTTGTACACTGCCATGATTTCTGCAAAACAAACAGCTCCATCAGATCCCTTTGATCCAGTTCATCTCATCCTTGTACACTGCCAGGTCTCCTGTAAAACAAACAGCTCCATCAGAGGCTGCTGCCCTGATCCCTCGCTGCCTTTCCTGGTATGTGGATGCTCTGGTGATGCTGAAAGGGGCAATGGCTTCCCACTGTTACAGGATAGGGTTAGATGAGATTTTGGGAAGGGATTGTTCCATGTGCAGGTGGGGAGGCCCTGGCACAGGGTGCCCAGAGCAGCTGTGGTTGGCACTGGATCCCTGGCAGTGCCCAAGGCCAGGTTGGACAGGGTTTGGAGCAGTCTGGGACAGTGGAAGATGGAATGAGATGAGATTTAAGATCCTTCCAAACTAAAATATTCTGTGATTGCACAAACAAAATGTAGGGAATGACACTGGGAAAAGGAGCTGGTCCTGGTACACCAAATGCCCAGAGATTTACAGTGTCAGAGCAAGGAAATATCAGAATCAGCCCTGAAAWCAGGCTGCTCCCCAGAAGAGCTGTGTCCCTGCTCAGCTGGCACATGCCAAAATCCTGAGCAGCTCAGCTCAGCCAGGCAATGATTAATTGTTCTGTATTTGCCTGCCCCTTGGCACTCTGAGGATGTTGAAGGCTGTCAGGAATATTCTGAAGTTGGGGGAGAGTTTGAAGCTGGGGCTCTACTGGGGGTGGGAAGGAACTCTGGCTGCTGTGATGAACTGCCTCCTGCACCCTGTGGCCTGTGACTGACACGGGATGGGACAGGGGACATTAACTGCACGGTGGCACTGGGAGAGCCAGGAGCTGCTTATTCACACAGAGAAGATGGGGAGAGGAGAAGGAATTCAGCCCTGCTTCAGTGACACAGCTCCCAGGCCATTCTTTGGGATGTAAGTACAGGAAAACAGCCACCTCTGCTTTTCCCCTGCTCTGATGGGGTGAATGATCCCTGGAACAGATCCTCACCACTCCCTTCCCATCCCTGAGCTCCCCACAAACWCCATCACTGCTTCCCACACRGAYCCCTCAGCACAGCATYGTGAGGGGATGWGTCACATCATTATTGTCACTTCTGGGAGCTTCTGGGAGCAGCTCTGTAATTCCCCCATCTCTTCCTTTCCGTCTCCTCTCCAGCATCAGCCCTGGCTGTCACTTCCCTGTGCTGACAGCCCCGAGTGCTCTGGGGATGCATCCACTGAGGACAGCCCTGTTACCCTCTGCCCTGCACCATCTGCYTCCAGCCCAGCACATCAGGCAGCCTGTGCATGGCACATGCAGCATTCCCTGCTTCCCAAACCAGTGGGGAATTCCCAGAGCAGGGACGACCAGTTAAAAGGATGCTGAATGTGCTGGTGAATGGYGGGTGCTGTTCCGAGAGCCCCAGCAGGGACTGTGCCCATTTCCTTGGGGGTTCTGAGG